CCTTCCTCCTCTCCTTTCCCTTCTCTCCTTCCCCTTCCTCCCCTTTACCCTTCCCCTCTTCTTCCCATTCCTCCGGCTGGGGAATTCTGGGAGTTGAAACCTGCCAGGCTTAAAATTGTCAAGGTTGGAGAACCCTGTTCTAAATGACAAAAACAACAAAAAGAATCATTTGGTCACATTTGCTTTTGGTGATATATATATATATATATCTTGGCACCAAAGTGAGATGAGCTGCAATAAATCCAATAGGTTGTCCATTACTTAGGTTTCCAAATGAGAAAGAAATGAAAATAACTGTTGATTATTTTTTTTAGAAAAACCCATTCCTATGGCTAAGAAAAGAATTCAAGAGGAAACCCGGAAAGGGTGCAACTTGGCCTCGGATATCTTCTCCAACAGGAGACAATAAAAAGGCCAGAGCAAAAGTTCAGGCATTTCAGATTCCCAGAAGCCTTGAGCTTTCCCTTCCTCCAATCCTGTTTCCTTCAAGGGCTCCATAACAAAATTACAGAGAAAGTCTGTTTCTGCCATGCTGAGCATGCTGCTTTGCTGAAGCCAAGAAAAAAAAAAGAGGGGGGGGGGGAGAAAAGCTAGTAACACTGACTAGATGAAAACCTTTGGGTCTGCAAGTGTTCACTTCACTTTGCTTCCAAGAAAACCGTCTGGAAACTATTTGCCGTTGTGCATCTGTCCAAATTGTGCTATTATCCCAGCTTCCTTGCTTTTCTTTGCTATCAAGAGCCTCCTTAATGTTTATCACCGCACTGCCATTAAGCTAAATAATTTTTTTACAATCGATTCTCAGATCGGACAAAGAACATTTCCCATTGTCCTTCCCAGTACTGTTAATTGTTACAGACAACAAGGCAGGACTTTTCCAGTCATAGCCCTCAACTATTTAGTAGTCTTGGCTTAGGGACGCAGTGGCTCAGTGGCTAAGACGCTGAGCTTGTAGATCAGAGAGGTCGGCAATTTGGCGGTTTGAATCCCTAACACCGCGTAACGGAGTGAGCTCTCGTTACTCGTCCCAGCTTCTGCCAACCTAGCAGTTCGAAAGCATGTAAAAATGCAAGTAGAAAAATAGGAACCACCTTTGGTGGGAAGGTAACATTGTTCTGTGCGCCTTCGGTGTTTAGTCATGCTAGCCACAGGACCATGGAGACGTCTTTGAACATTGTTGGCTCTTCGGATTTGAAACGGAGATGAGCACCACTGCCTAGAGTCGGGAACGACTAGCACATATGTGTGAGGGGAACCTTTACCTTTAGACTTGGCTTAGTAAAACTTAGGGGGAAAAGTGTTCCTTAGGATGGGTCTCAAATTCAGATTAAGTGGTTTTATCATTATATGCAACAGGGTGACCAAGAATGGACTAGAAACAGCCGGCCCATTGTAGCCAAAGTACTACCAAGTAGCAATAGACTTGTACACCGCTTTAAGTGCTTTACAGTCCTCTCTAAGCAGAGTCAGCATATTGCCCCCAACAATCTGGGTCCTCATTTTACCCACCTCGGAAGGATGAAAGGCTGAGTCAACTTTGAGCCAGTGGGAATCAAATTGCCAAACTGCTGGCAGCGGGCAGTCAGTAGAAGTAGCCTGCAGTACTGCACTCTAACCACTGTACCACCGCAGCTCAAGTAAGTGTTTGGAAGAATATGAAGGCAGAATAGCAGAGTTGGAAGGGACCTTCCAACCCCCTTCTAGTCCAACCTCCTGCTCAAGCAGGAGACCCTCATTTCAGGCAAATGGTTGTCCAGTCTCTTCTTAAAAGCCTCCATTGATGGAACACCCACAATTTCTGAAGGCAAGCTGTTCCACTGATTAATTTTGTCTCACTGACAGGAAATTTCTCCTTAGTTCTAGGTTGGATCTCTCCTAGATTGGTTTTCATCTATTGTTTCTTGTCTTGTCTTCTGGTGCTTTGGAAAATAAGTTGACCCCACCCCCTCTTCTTTGTGTCAGCCCCTCAAACATCGGAATACTGCTGTATCACCCAGGGTCCTTCTTTTCACGAGACTAGCCAGACCCAATTCCTGCAACTGTTCTTCGTATGTTTTAGCTTCCAGCCCCTTAATCCTCTTTGTTGCTCTTCTCTGCGCTCCTTCCGGAGTCTCAGCATCTTTTTTATATTGTGGTGACCAAGACTGGATGCCAAGAGTGGTCTTACAAGAATCTTATAAAGCAATAACAACACTCCACGTGATCTTGATTCTATTCCTCTGTTAATGCGGCCTAGGATTTCAATGGCTTTTTTTGGTGGCTACAGTAATTGCTGGGTCATATTTAAGTGATGTCCACTAGGAGTCCAATATCCCTCTCACAGTTACTCCTATTAAGCCAAGTTTCACATAATCTCTACCAGTATATTTGTTTTTTTTCTTGCCTGAGTGTAAAACCTTACTTTTTTCTACATTAAATGGACAAGTGGAAAGGATGTTGGCAGATGTAGCCCACCTCCTTTTTTACTTGTCCCAAACCTCCCACTGTGAAATGGATTTTGTCTGTGCCTCTAAATGTACACAGAATTACCTTATGCATGCGTGTGCAATTTTCTCCTGTGATGAGTCTGAATTCTCTATTAACAGTTGGCTGGTTTTCCTTCTATTTATGCTTTGCTGAAATGCTGAGATTGTATAATCTGGTGTTGGTTTCTCTGTTTAGATCTAGGAATTATTTTCCTCCTTTGTAAATATAGGAGAGAAAAAATGCTGATAAAATGGCTTGGAGATTTTTGTGCTGAGGCGGTGCACTTTCTAACCGATATAATTCTGCCATTTCAGCGTAAAAACAAACTTAGCCACTGGCAGAAACCACATCATAATACAGCCGCTTGAGAACAGATGCCAGCTGAATGTTAGGATTCCCTAACCCTTTTCTGTGATTCATCCCACACCCGGCAAAGCAGTGTTTTTCAACCTTGACAACTTTAAGATATGTGAACTTCAACTCCCAGTATTGGCTGGCTGGGGAATACTGGAAACTGAAGTCCACACATCTTAAAGTTGCCAAGGTTAAGAACATTGCTTTAAACATTAAGACCATGATGGCGGACCCATGGCATGTGTGCCAGAGATGGGATGTGCGCCATCGCCCCAGGTCAGGCCTCCGTGGCGTTCCTTTTGTGAGCTTCTGTTTCCTGGCAAATGACGAAATAGGAGCTCGTGCAGTGGTGGGTTTCAAAAATTGTTGGAACCTACTCTGTGGGTGTGGCCTCCTTTGTGGGAGTGGCTTGCCACCCATGTGACCGGATGGGAGTGGTTTGCTCCACCTCCTGCCAGCCAACTGGTCTTCGGGTCTCTATCCATGCATGTCCATGCATGTGTGTGTGCATGTCCATGCATGTACACATCCTTGCATGTCCGTGCATGCGCATGTCCGCACATGCGCACATAGCAATAGCAGTTAGACTTATATACCGCTTCATAGGCCTTTCAGCCCTCTCTAAGCGGTTTACAGAGT